GCCTCCGCCTTCCCTCCCCGGGGCGCGCCGGGCCGGGCAGGGCCGGGCAGGGCCGGGCAGGGCCGGGAGCACACAACAAAAGACATTTCATTATTCTCATCGTTCCGAATAAAATACGGGGGAAAGGGGGAGAGGCTGAGCGGACTGAGAAGAGGTCCAGGAGGAGGCCGAGGAGGTGGCTGAGGAGGTGGCTGAGGAGGTGGCTGAGGAGGTGGCTGAGGAGGTGGCTAAGGAGGTGGCTGAGGAGGTGGCTGAGGAGGTGGCTGAGGTGGCTGAGGAGATGACTGAGGAAGAGTCTGAGGAAGCTGAGATGGAGGCTGAGGATTGGGATGCTGCGGGGGAGGGGGCTAAGGCAAGGAGGTGGAGGAGCGACCTGCAGGAATTCCTTTCAAAAATGCCAAAGTCCAGACGACCGAATCAAAGAGCGAGGCGCGGGCGAGCGGGTGGCGGGTGAAAACGCGACGACAGATATGTAAAAAAGCGAGCAGCGCGATGTGCTTCGGGGAGAGACACAGGCAGCTATCTCGCCCCGGCTATCGTGGCCGGGGCCGGGCCTCGCCGTCTCCCGCCCACTCGCGGCCGCGGCACCTTGTCGGACCCACGCGCCTCGCCTCGCCCCGCTCCACGCTTCATTGCACTCGCGCCGATGGCGAGGCGCGGCAAGCTGCACACAAAGCGGCCAAAAAACAAAACGAAAACCGGCCGCGCAGCAGCGAGGGAAACCAAAATTAAAGGGAGCTTAGCGTGGCTCGGCCACCGGCTGCTACCTTCCTTCCCATCAAGAACGTCGTCAGGCAGGACCCCTTCCGGACCCTTCCGAGGCCCGGCCGGCCGAGCGGCTACGGCTATCACGGACGGGTCAATGGCCGATCTGCCCGCGCTGCCCACTGGGCGCCCCGCCCCGCCCCGCCCCGCCTCTCTCTCTCTCTCTCTCTCTCTCTCTCTCTCTCTCTCTCTGCTCACTCCCTCTCTCTCCCTCAGGAACGTAACAACAACACACGACGCCAGGA